TTTCTTTCTTTCTTTCTTCCTTTCTTTCTTCCTTTCTTTCTTTTTTTAAAGATTTATTCATTTATTTATTACACACACACACACACAGAGGGAGAGAGCAAGCACAAGCAGGAGGAATGGCAGGCAGGGGAGAAGCAGGTTCCCTCTTGAGCAAGGATCCCAATGTGGGGCACCATCCCAGGACTCTGGGATCATGACCTGAGCTGAAGGCAGATGCTTAACCAACTGAGTCACCCAAGCGCCCCTGAGTTTTCTGAGAACAATTATTTATGGGTCCTTCATGGCCATCCTCGAGATCTTCCTATGCTGTGAATCCCTGGAAACCTTTTTTTTCTTATATTATATGAGATTTTGTGGTCTTGGATAAGAGAGGAAGAAGTTGTTTTCATGTAACTCTGTGAATTATCTGTGCTTCACATGGTGACTCACAGCCCTTAGTCTCTTCTGTAGGAGGGGCAGCTGTCACCTGTGGATCATGACTTGAATACCACCCGGGGGACATTGTTCCAGGTTTGGAGATAGGATAATTGTTTTTCTATTCTGTTAACTGTGTGAGCTTAAAAGAGTCAGGTATCTTCTGTCATTTTTAGTTTTTGAAACCATAACTCATGATAGTATGAGAGTAAGATGATATGGTAGATATGAAGCCTTTTTTCTAAGTGCTACAGAATTCTGAATATGTGAGGAAGGGAAGGAGTTTTCTCTCTCTCTCTTTTTTTCTTGGAAATTCTGCCAGAGTGCCTGACATTCAAACAGTAGCAATCAATTACTGAAAGTTAAACCATTGTGTCCCCCAGATAACTATTAGGAAATAGATGAGTAAGACAGGACAAGTATCCTCAAGGATTATGGCCAAATGGGTGATATAAATTGCACAAATACTTGTGTGTTGAGTGGTGCAGTGGAGGTCTGCAGTTTCCTAGAAGGAAGAAACTTAAGTTTCATTTGAAGGAAACAGTGTTGTTGAAGCTGAGATTTGAAACAATGAAGACTGACAGATAGAAATGGGAAGAGGAAGAAAGACATCCAGGTTGAGTGGATAGAAATGATCCTGAAAAACAAAGGAAAAGATACTCTAGTTTGGAGGCAGACAGTGGTCAGCAGGAGCACAGTATAACCCATGTCACCCAGCCAGTGCATAGCAGCTCACAAGCAACGGGAACATGGGGAGGGTGTGGTGGATGTGAGCAGGATGATTGTGGGGCAGCCAAGATTGGGGGCCCAGTAGACAAGGCCACACCATGAGGAGATCCCTGGGAGAAAGTGAAGGTGTGGGAGACCCTGAGGAAGGAGGTGTGGCTGCCAGCACAGGGCTCCATGAAACAAACCATTTCAATACTGATGTGTTATGAACTTGCAGCTCTAGGATGACCTCTCCTCTCAGGTCCAAATACCAAATATTTATATGATGTCTTTTCTTGGATATCTCAAAGATGCCTCAAACATAACATGGCTAGCCCTGAACTCATCATCTCCTCCTGGAGCTGGGCCCCTTCCAGCTTTCCCTGTTTTTGTGACTCATTGTGTCAACCATGTAGTTGCTCAAACCAGGGACCTAGGTCAGCACAGCACATCATCAAGTTTGCAAACTGAAATGTAGAACTTGGTGTTACCATGTCATAGCTGTGTAATTTTAGGCAAATTATTTAATCTCTCTGAAGCTTATTTTAAAAAATGTTTATTGCAATATGGGTGTGATATGCTATTTCATAGGTTTATGTGTTTTGGTGAGAGAATGGGCTACTTTAAGGCTTGTAGAATGGTTGATCACTCCATGTATGTCAGTTATGATTATTATTCCTAACCCACCCTCTTCCCACCTCCTACTAAGACTGTAAAAACTGTGTCTCTTACTATCTATCCCTCCAATGCCTCCATTTCCTCTGACTCAATGCTTACCATGCTTATCTGAAATGCCATCACCCCCCTGTCTGGATGACCTTGGTGGCTTGTTCTGTCCACTGCTATGCCTTCCATTCAATGGAATGGAAGTGGTCATACAGTGGCCAGAAGGGCCTTTCTAGAACATGGACAACTCAGGTCCCAGAAATATTGTCCTGCTGCTCTTAGATTCCCAATGACACCAACTCCACCAAAGCACCTCCTGTCTTTTTCCTTCATTCCAGCCTCCTGGGCTTCCTAGCCTCATACTGCCTCCAGCCTCAGAACCTGCACCTGCTCTCCTTAGTGTGAAGGTTCTTCACACCTAACTCACTTTCACCTACTTAACCTCTGTCCATGCTTGAGATTTCAATTCACATTTTCTAAGGGAAGTTTTTGATGACTTCTCCAAAACAGGGTGAACCCTATGTTGCTTTCTTTTAAGGCAATTATTACAGTTTTTATTATATTAAAAAAACATTTGGTAAATTTATAACCCCCAATGTGCATTCTCCTGAATGTACAGTCAAATTCTGCTTTGTTCATCATTTTATTTTTAGCACAAACCGACATGCCCAGCAAAGAGAAGTTTCTCAAAATATGATTGAATAAAATGAGCAGGATGGGTTAGCCTAGTGGATTGGTCTAATTTACCCTCAGAAATAGGAGGAAGGGTAAAAAAGGTAAAAGTGTAAGCAGAGTTTAGGAATGACCAGGGTTTGGGGATTCTTTAGATGGAAATATAGTTGTCCTGGAGAATTCATTTGCTCCTGGTAATGTGAAATATACACTAAGGGAATCTGAACCTTTATCTGGCATGTTCTCTCACCCTTCTGAATTTAAGGTTCAGACACACACATGGGCACAGGGCAGAGCAGTCAAAGAAGTGCTGTTTGAGTAGAGGCCCAGTACTTACCTTCATTTTTAAAAAGTTTCATTTCCCTCTTTAGCTCCTATAATTTGCTTCAGATATCAAACTGCACAATTCATTCTTCTTGAATTAGAACTTGAGCATTTTGAACTAAGGGATACTTTGTATAACTATTTTAATTTTATCAAGCATTTTTATTAACCAACTTAAAGTCTAGAACAGTATTCTTTAATGACACAAACATGAACATTCAAATTAATTTACATCTGGCCAGGAAATAACAACTATCCTAGGAATCAATTATTCAAATAAACATATTCAAGTAAAAGACCAGATGTTTAGTAACAGTTAGATTTAACCATCAAGATGGTGCAGACATAGCATATTGCCATTAATAGAAATACAAATCATTAAAAGTTTGAAACTAAAATAATCCAATTGTATGAATATAAACCATATTAAAAATATTCTTAGAGAGCATTCTATTGTCATCAGTTAAGGGAAATTAAATTTTAGACACCCAGTTAAAAGTCTATCAGTTTGGGAGAGATAAAACTATATGTATTTTTTTCACCCAGTGGCTACATAACTCTGCCAGACATTTATTTCATTGAGACTCAGTGTTTTCATCTAGAAATTGGAATGGCAGCATTACTCAATTACTTATCTTGGGGACTTATAAAAGGGGAAGGAGTTAGTGAGAATCTGGATAGAAAGTGCTCCAAAGTTGTGAGAGAGTCCTCCTCCACACAGCACCTGTGGTGACTGTACACAGACATGGAATCCTGCATTAGCCAAATGACTTTACAAGTTTCCAGAGCACTGGGTCTCTAATTTATTGGGATGAGTCTCCTGAAAAGTTTATTAAAATACAAGTAACTTAACCTGAAATTTGGGGTTTCTAATTCAGTATGTTTATTACTGAAGCTTATCATAACAAATTAAATAAAAAAAACAATACAAATATCCACTAACAAGGAATATATTAAAAGTTTGCTGTATTCTTAAGAAGACTTGTATATAACCCAAACATCATGTTTTAGGAGAATATTTATGGCCATGAGAATTTATAACAATATGGTGCTTGAGGAAAAAACAGGTTAGAATATGTACTCTCTGAGCCTACTTTTAAATATTTATGCATGGAAAACTGATTAGCAGGACATACACCAAATCATTAGTGGATGTTTTCTTTCTTTGGTGGAGACATTAAGGGTTTTTGCTCAGAGATTCTTGCACATTCTGCGTTCCGCAACTCGTGTTCACGTGTCACCAGGATGATTGCAGGTGGAACTGACCCAGCCATTATTAATATGGAACTCGTAGGATGTACAGAGCCCTCTTGTGATTTTTTTCTAATTAAATACTGTCTGTATTGTGTATTTTTGAGATTTTATTTACAAGTGAAACACTGGATCACTTATGTCTGTGTTCGGTGGTACGTATGAGCTCTGGAGGATGCTGCCCTTCTGGGTTGGAATCTGATGTGCATGGTAATGACTGTCCTCTGTAACACTTGTTCCCTTGTTTTGCAGACCATTGCTACTGCGGCATAGGATTATTGTAATCTGGGTTTCTCTTTGCCCAATCCCCCAAAGGGAAGTGGGCAACCTCATGGAAGGAAAGAATCAAACAGCTCTGTTTGAATTCATCATCTTGGGATTCTCCAACCTAAATGATTTGCAAGTTCTACTCTTCACAGTATTCCTTATGATTTATATCTGTACTCTGGGAGGAAATCTCTTCATTATCCTGGTGACCATGGCTAATCCACATCTACATACTCCCATGTACTATTTTCTGAGGAATTTGGCCTTTCTTGACATCTGCTACACCACCACCAATGTCCCCCAGATGATGGTGCATCTCCTATCAGAGAAGAAGAGCATTTCCTATGGAGGATGTGTGGCTCAACTTTTTGCCTTCATTTTCTTTGTAGGATCAGAGTGTCTCCTCCTGGCAGCCATGGCATATGACCGTTACATTGCAATCTGCAAACCCCTCAGGTACTCAGTGATTATGAACAGGACCCTGTATGTCCGGTTAGCCGCCTCATGCTGGACTGGGGGTTTCCTCAACTCAGTCATGCACACAGCACTGACCTTCCGCCTGCCCTTCTGTGGCAACAACCAGATTCATTATTTCTTTTGTGACATCCCCCCTTTGCTGCTTTTGTCTTGTGGGGACACTTCTGTAAATGAGTTGGCATTGCTCTCCATTGGGGTCTTCATTGGGTGGGCTCCTTTCCTGGGCATCAGCCTTTCCTACCTCTCTATTATCTCTACCATCTTGAGGATCCAGTCCTCAGAGGGGAGGCAAAAGGCCTTTTCGACCTGTGCTTCACACCTGGTCATTGTCCTTCTCTACTACGGCAGCACCATCTTCACATATGTGCGGCCCATCTCATCTTACTCACTGGAGAAAGACAGACTAATCTCCGTATTGTACAGTGTTGTTACCCCCATGTTAAACCCTGTAATTTACACACTGAGGAATAAAGACATCAAAGGGGCTGTGAAGGCCATGGGGAGAAGGTGGCAAATGCTGATTCCCTCTTTTGATATGTAACTTTCACTCATCTGTAACCAATATTCTTATATCAGAAATTAACTTTTCACTAGCCAACTGTTGGCAGTGACACTAAACTTACAGGTTGATTGCAGTGTTGGGACAGATAGTGAGCAGTTGACACACTCAAGTCTAAGTGTACATATTCTTGAGCTTTAGTTTAGTTAGTCCTGTGCAAGAGACATGGATGTTGCTGTTTTTAAGTATTTTCTTCTGAGAATACCGTCCATTCCTGAATCCTTCATTCAAAATATGGTGCTACTCTTTCATGCAATATGTGCTTGATGGTCATTACCTTCTAGGACTTTCCTTCCTTTGTGTATTACACTTATATGTTGAGGAATGTGAAAGCCCTTATCCTAATGCTCCTCATATATGTTTATTATATTCCTCTTCTTATTCCTTAAGTCATGCTTTTGGCTTTTCTTTCTTTATTAGGTTCTTCTTCATAAAGCATCATAATCATGCACTGAGTTTACATTACACTGTTTTTGACAGAGCTATGTGAATCAAGATGAAGTGATGTTTTATCTCTGGTTCTGCTGACAATTAAGGTTAGTTTTGTCCCCAGTCACATGGGTCAATGACAATTTATCTTCATGTTGGAAGGAAGACAGTCATAGTTTCCCAATCCCAGCTTATATTCCTTACTGTGTCCAAAAAATGGAATATCCTGAAAGAATGTTTCTAGAAATAAGGCCACACAACAGGTTACTATTTTATAGGGTATTTAGAATTTAGGAAATCTTTATCTAAAACAAAGATAAACTCAAAATGGATGAAAGGCCTCAATGTGAGACAGGAATCCATCAAAATCATAGAGGAGAACACAGGCAGCAACCTCTTCCACCTTGGCCACAGCAACTTCTTTCAAGAAACCTCTCTAAAGGCAAGGGAAACAAAAGCAAATATGAACTTTTGGAATTTCATCAAGATAAAAAGCTTCTGCACAGCAAAGGAAACAGTCAACAAAACCAAGAGGCAACCCACGGAATGGGAGAAGATATTTGCAAATGACATATCAGATAAAGGGCTGGTATCCAAGATCTATAAAGAACTTCTCAAACTCAACACCCAAAAATTAAATAACCCAGTCAAGAAATGGGCAGAAGACATAAGCAGACACTTCTCCAAAGAAGACATACAAATGGCCAACAGACACATGAAAAAATGTCCCACATCACTCGGCATCAGGGAAACACACATCAAAACCACAATGAGATACAACCTCATACTGGTCAGAATGGTGAAATGAACAAATCAGGAAAAGACAGATGTTGGCAAGGATGTGGAGAAAAGGGAACCCTCTTACACTGTTGGTGGGAATGCAAGCTGGTACAGCCACTCTGGAAAACGGTATGGAGTTATCTCAGGACATTAAAAACAGAGCTATTTATGACCCAGAAATTGCATTATTAGATATTTACCCCAAAGATACAGATGTAGTGAAAAGAAGGGAACCTGCACCCCAGTTTTCATAGCAGCAATGTCCACAATAGCCAAACTGTGGAAGGGGCCAAGATGTCCTTCAACAGAGGATTGGATGAAGAAGATGTGGTTCATATACACAATGGAATATTACTCAGCCATCAGAAAGGATGAATACCTACAATTTGCATTGACATGGATAGAACTGGAGGGTATTATGCTGAGTGAAATAAGTCAAGCAGAGAAAGACAATTATCATATGGTTTCACTCATATGTGGAACATAAGGAATAGGGCAGAGGACCATAGGGGAAGGGAGGGAAAACTGAATGGGAAGAAGTCAGAGAAGGAGACAAACCATGAGAGACTCTGGATATCAGGAAAATAACTGAGGATTGCAGAAAGGAGGGAGTTGAAGGATGGGGTAGCTGGGTGATGGGTAGTAAGAGGGCATGTGTTGTGATGAACACTGTGTGTTATACACACCTGATGAATCATTGAACACTACATCAAAAGCTAATGATGTATTATACATTGGTTAACTGAACATAATAAAAAATAAAATACAAAAATAGAGTCTTTGCTGAAAAAATTAGATCACAGAATTGGAAAAAAATATACAGAAGCGTAACTACAGGTTGTTTTGGGGGGGGAATAGAAACTGTTTGTTGCATAGTAACTATAGTTAGAAAAGAGAGTAGGAATCACACATATTAAAAGCAAAGGTACTAATGTACTGCTTTTTCTATGTTATTACCATGTAAGGAACAGGCATGAAGACAAGAGAAGTGGGCAAGCAAAGTGGTCTAAGAAAGAAAGAAACATGGGAAAGGGAGAGAAAATGTGAAAGATAAGGAAGGAGGCTTAGAGATGCAAAGAAGTTCCTTGCAATGTAGGGCAGAGAGAAGGGCTCATGGAGGAGGGGCCAGGGTCTAGTTCCTTCCTTCCCAGTTCTGCCAGAAGCTGTTTCTCCTCCTCCTCAGAGCTGCTCTTGCCTCCCTAGCTGGCATCCTGGTTCCCATCTTTGTGCTCTGCCACAGTGCCTAGCTCACACCTGTCAGCCGCACCTCACTTCTGAGTTAACTCTCCCATGGCAGTGCTGTGTGCAGACTCCTTCCCTGTTTCAAAGAGACCTCCACCTGACAACAATGATCTGTGGTCAGTGCATTCAGTCTCCCAGGAACTGCCTGTCTTATCACCTGATCTCCTTTAGAAACTAAATAATTCTCCCCACAGTTACTACATCCTGCGACATACCTTTCCATTTTCCTTTATACTGTCTTTTAAAAAGCAAAAATGTTCACTTTTGATGAATTCCAATTGGTCATTATATATATATTTTCTCTCTTAAATTCATCTTTATTGAAGTATAATTGGCATATAAAATTGTAAGATATTTCAAGTGTACATCGTGGTGATTTGATACAAGTATACATTGTGAAAAGACCCCTCCCATCCTGTTAATTAACACATCCATCCATCACCTCTCATATTTATCCTTTTTTCTTGATGAGAATATTTAAGTTCAGCTCTCCTAGCAAATTTTAATTATACAATACAGTGTTCTCAACTCTAGATAGCCATCATGTTTTACATTAGATCCTCAGACCTCATTCACCTTAGAGCTGAAAGTTTATACCCTTTTAACTCCCTCTTTCTTTTACTGACCACTACTTCCCAACCCTGGAAACCACTTTTCCACTCCCTGTTTTTATGAGTTTGACATTTTAAAAAAAAGATTCCACATATAGATGACACCATACAGTATTTGTCTGTCTGGCTTTTTCCTTGCATTATGTCCCCAAGTTCTACCCATGTTGTTGCAAATAGCAGGAATTCCTTCTCTTTCCTGGCTGAGTATTCCTCCTCCCTCCATTTTCAACTGTGGCATGAAATAAGTCTCAGGAGGTATTTGGAATCAACATTTTTTTGGAGGGGGAGACTCTTGGCACCCTGTTAAAACATTAAGGTTACAAGAGTCAGAATAGGGTTCCTCAAAAAGTTAAAAATAGAGCTACCCTATGACCCAGCAGTTGCACTACTGGGTATTTACCCCAAAGACACAGATGTAGTGAAAAGAAGGGCCACATGCACCCCGATGTTCATAGCAGCAATGTCCGCAATAGTCAAACTGTGGAAAGAGCCGAGATGCCCTTCAACAGATGAATGGATAAAGATGTGGTCCATATATACAATGGGATATTACTCAACCATCAGAAAGGATGAATACCCAACTTTTACATCCACATGGATGGGACTGGAGGGTATTATGTTAAGTGAAATAAGTCAAGCAGAGAAAGTCAATTATCATATGGTTTCAGTTATTTTTGGAACATAAGGAATAGCTTGGAGGACATTAGGAGAAGGAAGGGGAAAATGAAGGGGGGGAAATCGGAGGGAGAGATGAACCATGAGAGAGTATGGATTCTGAGAAACAAACTGAGGATTTTAGAGGGGAGAGGGAGGGGGGATGGGTTAGCCAGGTGATAGGTATTAAGGAGGGCATGTATTACCTGGAGCACTAGGTGTTATATGAAAACAATGAATCATGGGACACTACATCAAAAACTAATGATGTACTGTATGGTGACTAACATAACATAATAAAATAAAATAAAAAAGAGAACAAATGATCATATATATATTTGTCCTTTGACTGTTAGTTCTTTTGGGTTTTGTGCCCTAAGAAATCTTTGCCCTCCATAGAACCACAAAGATACTTTCCTGTAGCTTTTATATTTAGGTCTATGATCCAACTCGAATTAATTTTTGGTGTAATGTTGAGGCTTATTTTTTATTTTTTTCTGAAGAGATAGTTGTGTTTTATTGTGTTTTTACAGCATACCTTGTTGAAAAGACTATCCTTTCCATATTGTGTTGTCTAGACATTTTGGTCAAAATTACTTGGGCACATATATTTTGCTCTATCTAGATGTTTTATGTTCTGTTTGAGCTTAGACTACCAGGTGTAACCTGTATTCTGAAAAGAATAAGATTTACTGATTTGCAAGGAGGGAGGGAACTCCAGAGTAACCATTGCATGTTCCACTTGACAACAGAAAGGAAGCAAGCATCATCCATAAGGGTTGGTTTCCATCTGAAGAAGTCTGAGCAGGGTCTACAGGAAGCAGGGCTCAGTTCTAAATTGGGTACTGTTGTTGAGGAGGGCTTGGGAGAAGCAGGGATTAACAGGAGACTAGGTGCTATCCTGTGGCCAGCCCAGAGTAGCAATTAGGTACCCCGAGTTATAGATGGATGTAATAAATCTAGGGTGCTACTGAGAAGAAAGCAGCAGTCCCTCAAAGTGCTACTGTGTGCCCTATTGACTCTGCAGTTGCTTTATCTGTGTCTGCCCTCTGGCATGAATAAGGGCAAGGCTGCTTTTTGCTTTATCATTTCAAGCTGATTTCTACTCTCTCACACAGCATTTTATTACATTTTTGGTTCCATGATCTACTCATCTACTAACCCCACACTGTCAGGCTTACTGTAACTTTGTAGTAAGTTTTGAAATACAGTTGTTTAAAGACTGAAATATATTCTTTATTCAAGGATGTTTTAGTTATCTAAGTA